GTTATTATTAAGAGGAAAGACCAAGTTTTTTTTTAATTATTTTTAAAAAATTTTCCTTCTTTTTAGAACATTCTAAATTTTGATTAAAAAAAACCTTTTTTCTATTTGTATCAGCGGAACTAGTAAATAACATAAACAATTTTTAGCGCGTTTTTTGGTATGACACACATTAATTTGAAAAATCGTGCAAAAATAGAAATAATTATCGGATGTTAATGAAACTTTCAGAAACTATTCACAGATGATCGAAATTATTATAAATGTTTTTTTTTATGAAAGTCATGGTAGAAATATTTTTTTTTAAATATTTATTACCCCCCATAACTAATTTTATGAAAACGCTAGAAATTCGATCGCATCGGTTTTAGTGATTACAATAATTAAAAGCACAGGGCTTTGAGGAATGCAAATCATGTTTTTTTTTGTTTTTAATTGGATACGCAGTACCTGAAAATCAGCTCTGAATTGTAACATACAAAACTCAATAAAACAAATATATTATTTAATTTCAAATGCTTTTATTTGCTTTTAGTTGTTTTATGAATATGGACAATATTTTCTGAAAGCAAAAAAATTTTTCGATGAAAATGAATTTTTAATACAATTATTTGTTATTTCATTAATTATAATAGATTTTACATTTAAGTTGTTAAAATATTATAAAATTAGTTAAAAGCCGCATCGGCTTTCATAAGTGTCCTTATGAGATAGATCTTTTTTTTAGCGCGTTGTAAATTGTATCATTTTGACTAATCAGAAGATACCCAGTAATTAAGAAATGTAATTTTGTGCTTATAATCGAGCTGTAATTATAAAATACGGAAGACCAACCAGAATATAATTAAGTTGCGTTATTTGAGTTAAGCATTGTTCTCCGCTGTTAAGGCCTTTACTTTTGCGAAACACGTGTGGAGAAGTTAATTTGATTTTTCAATTTCAACTGAGAAGGGTACCTACAAGTATCAGTATCATCTTATGAAATTTATATGATCTTATTTTTATATTAATCTCAGTTATGACATTTTTCCATAAATGAAATATCAAAATTAATAATAAAATGAATGCAAATACAAATAACAGTAGAATGTAATAAATGTACATAAAATTATAGTATTTTATGTACAATTCTGATAAAATTTCATAAGGTACCTATAAATTAATTAGATAGCTTTCTTAAGAAATATGAAATTTAATGTCACTCTTAACAGTTTTATTTTAATTTCTTTACAATATATTTCCCATAAAGCATCATAAACGTAAAGGTGAAAGCTAAGTACAAAAAAAAAAAATTAGACCGCTGAAAGTTTTCGTTAAAAATAACGGGGTAAATAATTTGTTCACGTAAATGTAAATTATTTCACTTTTCTCCTAGAACAAATTAGCCTCATGGAATTCATAAATATATCATTCATCACATGTCAAGAGACGCGGAAGTTTATGACCTGCTTTGTTTTATTTTCAAATTACATCTTTTTGGCACAAAAGCTAAGTTAAGTTTGGTTCAAAATATTTTAAATAAACATTATAATTTCTGATTTTCTTAAAATAAGTTTTGAAAAATGATAATTGATATTTAAAAAAATTTCAAAGTCAGATTTCCAGTTTTTTTTAAAATGGAAAAAAATGGTCAATTTTGCTGACTCAAAAAAAAAAAACTAGATTTTTAACGAAAATTTCGGACGTGCTAGGAACGATTAAAAAATGGAAAAAAATACCCCAAAAATACTTTGACCTTTCCTCTTAATAATAACAAACATTTAGACGATAAAATTTTGTTTTCGTCAAGTTTGGCGTCTTTTTCATCATGCTATGCTCTTTTTTTAGCGATCTCGTGGAGGTACCTATCTTTTCTCCTCACTAAGATCTCATTTTCTTTCACTTTCAATAACCTCTTGAGTCTTAGTGGCATTATCGCCTTGCTTTGAGTGAATTGATTAAAAGATAAAAAGAACAACAGATAGGAAGAGTCATGATCCCTCAAGTTCACTAGTGCTTCTTAACTGGCCTTGAACCTTGTTAAGTTTTATATTTGGACACTGATGTGATAGGAAAGTAAAACAACACTTAGTGGGTCATTAAGTTTGCGGCCTTGTGTCAGACTAAGCTAAATTTAATAAATGCTAATATGGATATAGTTTGCGAAACAGTTTGTTGGAGGGAACATCGTCATTCCGTAAAAGAAAAAAAACTACTTACTACAGGAAGCACAGCAGCAATGCCTCGTGCTTTTGATCTCTGTGGTCACCATATACAACCCAGTAGAGCTTACGCAACGTGTGTGTGTGTGTGTGTGTACACTAAATGGTTGTCGAGGATACTGGACAATTTCTCCATAAGTGGAGATTTGAAGCGACCGTTATGTTCTACCCAACGAATGTTGAGAATAACATGGACCTAGTATATGTCAAATAGAAGTTTTAAAGATAATGTGGAATTAAAAATAAAAAAAACAGTTTTTTGACAGCTTAATTTTGCTTGTATGTACTGAAGAAGCTTGGAGAATTTAACACACTTAGGGAACAGAGGCAGCATGGCCCGTCATTTAAATTCAAGTCACTGCAGCTATATTCAAAATATAACTATAATACAAAAAACCTTCCCCAGAAAGTATAAAGAGAGCTTTCTGAAACTTTATCGCTAGTCAGTTCTATTTTTGTCTATACCTGCTGGGCGTGGACACCTTACAGTCAGCGTCATCTAGAACTGTTAGGAAAAGTACAGAAACACCTTACCAAGAATGATTCTTGAAATTAAAAATATCCTTTGCCCCCGACAGGCTTTAAAAGCCTTGGCCTTTTCTCATTTGAAACTGGTCTCCGACTTGATTTTATACATGAATTAAGAATAGTAAATTCTATTGAGGACACGAGAAATATTCTGCTAAAAGCCAGTATAAATTTTCCAGAAAGACATCCATTAAAAATACAACCGCTGCTCTATTGTGTGAACATACGAAAATAATTTTTTTTTTTTTCACAACGGATAGGGAATCAGTAGAACGCTCCGCTTTTTCGTCAGTCAACGCAGAGACTTTAGACATTTTCGAAAAGGAGATCGAAATACAATTTTGAATATATTGGCTGGTGGTAATTACTTGTGTACTATTTACCACCTCCGCTATCTTTTAAACGCTTTTTTTTTTTCAAATTCGTTCTTTCCATTATTCTTATTTTCTGTCCTCTTTATTATTTTGACCTTCTGTTTGTCCATTCAAGACTAAATGATGGCGCCTTTTAATGACAGGCTTTTCATATCGTGTGATCTATCAATTTTTGTCCATCCTGCTTCAACTTTTGTAAAGTGATGGTTAAGGAACGCTGACTAAATTAAGTCGATAGGAAATAAATATCTTTTCAGTGACACTTGAAAGGTAAGGAAATACAAGTTTTGTGCGTTACAAAACAACGGACATTGACTTATGTATTAAGCAGATTCCAATAACTCTATAACCGACCCGTTATATCGTTTTCGGGGACTTTCCAACGATGCCACATTCCGATATTATGAAGGTGAGATTCGAATCTGGATCTCATGGTCGGAAGGCTAACGTTCTAAACACACTAAGGTCCTTTTTCTCATGTGTGCAAAAAAGCAATAATATATGTTTATGTCTGACTCGGTATGTACACTTATGTACATAAAAAGCACACTCTAGTTTTGGTGGACTGATTTAACATCCAACGGACACCAAATAGTTCTTATATATCTTAATCATACCACCCCATGCAAGGCAGTAGAGCCACTAAGACACTGTTTACCGAGTGTAAAAGAATAAGAAAAAAGAGAAACGTTATTAAGGAGCGAGGATAATAGAAAAATAATCAAGAAGTAAATAGATAACAATTCACAGTGCATTTACATTTTTGAAGATCAAAGTTGGCTGGAAAGTATGGAGCCGGAAGAGAGTTCCACCATCGAAAAGTGCGAGAAAAGAAATTGCTAACATAGAACTTGTGGCTGCATCTAGTTAATTCAACTGTGAATTGATAAGAGCTTGCCGTCGGTCTAGTACTGCGCTTAAATTCATAAAATCTATGTATCAGCAAAAAAGCTCATTCGAACAATTACCATGAAAGTATTTATAGAAAAAAAAAGATAACCTTGCGGCGGTGGGAAAGTGACTGAAGCCGAGCCGCCAGATGAGGACAAATAATATTGCCGATTCCTCTTGAATTTTATCTAGAATTTCTAAATGTATAGCGGGAGCACTGGATCATATATGACAGCAATATTCAAGGCATAGACGAATGGTAGTTTTTTTTTTTTTTTTTTCAGCAGTAATCTGTCCCATGCTTGAACGCACTCATCAGCCTTGAAGACTGCTTTCAAGCATGAAACACTGTCGGCACTCAGTGTTGACCTCAGTGTTATTATATATATATATATATATATATATATATATATATATATATATATATATATATATATATATATATATAAATTGATTGATGTGTGCTCGAGATTAGACGGGTACTATCTTTAGTAAAACACCCCAGCAAACAGACTGCTCTTATTTTTTTTTCTTTATCTCTTCGTGGCTTACTCTTCCCCCCATCCCTTTTTCTTTTCTTAGAAATAAAATTCTGAATTAGCCGACAAAATACGAGAAAAAACGGAGCGAATGCTAACCTTTTGATTCTAATTGTAAACAATTTGGTTTCGACAAAGGAAGTCACGGAAGGTTTATTTTCACGATAATTTTACGTTTGTTTTTAAATTAAATAACAATTTCTCTGCAATTTGATCTGTTTTAATAATCAATGTGACACGTATATCAAGAATATTAAACAATACGAAATGAAGTAAGTCCAAAATACACGAATTAGTCATTAAACGTTAATCTCGAAGAGATACTTGTTGGTTTAGCAGCGGCTGTCGCGTTTTATTCATTATTGGTGCTTAGAAATCTCGGTCGTTATTCTGTTAATTAGCTGTGGAACAAAGACAATGGATTGTTAGGACACTTACACTGGGTCATTGATGTTGTGGGTTGTTAATACATGTATGTATGGTTCAAAGGTCACATAAAATTAAAATGTTTCTTCCTCCCTCTCTCTCACTCAAACACTTCCTTCTCTCTTTCTCTTTCTTTCTTTCTTTCTCTCTCTTTCTCTTTCTTTCTCTCTCTCTCTCTTTCTCTCTCTTTCTCTTTCTTTCTCTCTCTCTCTCTCTTTCTCTTTCTTTCTCTTTCTTTCTCTTTCTTTCTCTCTCTTTCTCTCTTCTCTTTCTCTTTCTTTCTCTCTTCTCTTTCTCTTTCTTTCTCTCTTCTCTTTCTCTCTTCTCTTTCTCTCTTCTCTTTCTCTCTTCTCTTTCTCTCTTCTCTTTCTCTCTTCTCTTTCTCTCTTCTCTTTCTCTCTCGTTCTTTTTCTCTCTCGTTCTTTTTCTCTCTCGTTCTTTTTCTCTCTCGTTCTTTTTCTCTCTCGTTCTTTTTCTCTCTCGTTCTTTTTCTCTCTCGTTCTTTTTCTCTCTCGTTCTTTTCTCTCTTTTCTCTCTTTTTTCTCTCTCTTCTTTTTTCTCTCTCTTTTTTCTTTTTTTTCTGTCTCTTTCTTTCTTTCTTTTCTTTTCTGTCTCTTCTCTTTTCTTTCTCTGTCTTTTTCTTTCTCTGTCTTTCTCTGTCTTTCTCTGTCTTTTTCTTTCTCTGTCTTTTTCTTTCTCTGTCTTTTTCTTTCTCTGTCTTTTTCTTTCTCTGTCTTTTTCTTTCTCTGTCTTTTTCTTTCTCTGTCTTTTTCTTTCTCTGTCTTTTTCTTTCTCTGTCTTTTTCTTTCTCTGTCTTTTTTTTTCTCTTTTTTTCTTTTCTTTCTTTCTCTGTCTTTTCTTTCTCTGTCTTTTTTTCTTTTTCTCTGTCTTTTTTTTCTCTGTCTTTTTTTTTCTCTGTCTTTTTTTTTCTCTTTCTTTTTCTTTCTTTGTCTTTTTTCTTTCTCTGTCTTTTTTTTTTTTCTTTTTTCTTTCTCTGTCTTTTTCTTTTTGTCTTTTTTTTCTCTGTCTTTTCTTTTTCTTTTTCTTTCTCTGTCTTTTTTCTTTCTTTCTCTGTCTTTTTTCTTTGTCTTTTCTTTTTTCTTTCTTTTTTTTTCTTTCTCTGTCTTTTTCTTTCTCTGTCTTTTTCTTTCTCTGTCTTTTTCTTTCTCTGTCTTTTTCTTTCTCTGTCTTTTTCTTTCTCTGTCTTTTTCTTTTTCTTTCTCTGTCTTTTTCTTTCTCTGTCTTTTCTTTTCTGTCTTTTTTCTTTCTCTGTCTTTTTCTTTCTCTGTCTTTTTCTTCTCTGTCTTTTTTTTTTTTTTCTTTTCTGTCTTTTCTTTCTCTGTCTTTTTCTTTCTCTGTCTTTTTCTTTCTCTGTCTTTTTCTTTCTCTGTCTTTTTCTTTCTCTAATAAATGTTCTCTTTTACTTTTTATGAAGAGAAATCAGATCGCGAGAAAAAAAGATTACACATAAATAAATTGATACGAGAATTGATCAAGTTATTCAATTTTCCTGAAACGAGTTCTTGTCCAGACCCAAAGCTGTTGAAGATTTCTTAACCCCTTTTCTCTTCTAGACCCAATAACCAAATATCTTTGAGAAGGAACTTCCCACACCAACATCGGTCACATAACTTTTCAGTACTTTGTAGAATAATGAAACTGCTATCAAAATTATGTAGATATATATTTCTCCTTAGATTTACAACTTTATTTAACAACATAATCACTATTTACTGCATTATTTCTCTAGAAGTTGTATCCTTTTTGAGTCGTTCAACGAAGGAAACTTCTAGTTTATTTGTGGTTCAATGAAACAGAAAATTCATCTTCGGTCTTAAGGACGTAGGCGGTCATGACTCTCCATAATTTTCTATTCTTTTAGCTCTTACCAACGTTTGTTTCTTTACTATCCCATCCATTCCATGTTCTGCCAATTACTTATACAAGCTTGTTAGATAGATTACTAGCTGTGTCTCCTACCCCTCCTCTCTCTCTCTCGCCTTCAATATACCCATGCCTTCTTTCCTCATGTCTTCTGGAAATTTCAACTGTCTGTAAGTATAAATGTCCTTTTTGTTTCCAGTTTTCCTTAAAACTTTTCCAACATTGTTCTCTCGACGAAAATGTTATGGTATCGAATCGGTGATGTCCGCAAAGCGCGAAGCAATTGTGAATTCCAGGCTTCTCACGGTTTGTACAATTTGCTTAATGCAACACGTCGAAGGCGCAAAAAAAAAAACAAAAAAAAAACTTTTTAGGCTTTATTCTGCGGATGCCTTTTTGACTACTCGTAGTTTATCCTCATCATTCCTCTGACCGAGTGTGGTCATAGGGTGGCTTCGCAGCTGAGCAGTTTCCTCCACATGTCTGGGTTGAAGGCCGGAGAGGTATCTTGACAATTTAGGCTGTAGCATTTAAACAATCATTTATTGGTACCTGCAGTCCCAAAGTACGTCAAGAAAATATTCCCTATACGATTACAACACCATCTCCACCTGCTTGCAACGTTGATACGGCGCAGAATGAGTTCATATCTTCCAAATTCTGGCTCTATCATACGAATATTGCCGTAAAAATCATGACTCATCAGACCAGGCAACGTTTGTCCAATATTCTATTGTGCACTTTTTGTGATCCGTAGCTAATTGTAACTTCGTCATGTTCCTTTCTGACAGAAACGGCAGCCGACGTGGTTTTCTGCTGCTGTAGCTCATCTGCTTCAAGATTCGACTTAGCGTGCGTTCATAGATACACTTCTGTATACCAATTTTGATAAGTGGTTATTTGAGCTGCTGTTGCCTTTTGCTTTTAGAATCGCTTCATTTTTTCTTTGATTGGATTCGATATTATTATGGAAGTACTCTTTCGAAATTTATTGTCCATGCTGTTATGACATCCCGCTATTTTCTAAATTGGATGTGTGCACCTTTTAATATTCAAATCCCAATACTTTCCAGTGGTGCTCTATTGTATTGTGATCCAGTGCACTTGAAAAACCTATTGCTGCCATCTATGAACTGCATCTTGCCACTATTTTTGATTTGTGACGCTCTATGTTGTCCTACTGGAATTGGACATTAAAAAAATAAGTGTACCATTGTCATAAATGAAGACCCCTGACCATCTACAATACTGAAGTAGGCTGTTATATTTAAATGTTTGTTTTTTGTTTGTTTTTTGTTTGTTTTTTGTTTGTTTTTAATTTGGACAAAGCGTCCAAATTAATACCAACACAATATTTCTTGTACCACCGGTCTGAACCGGTGATGCAAGGCAGGATGGTCCCATACCTTTCATATTACTCCAAAGCAGGGTGTTTTTTTCCTGTTGGTGGGGGGTGGGACGAGTTCAATTTCTTTTTGGGATCTTTAGAAATTTGTTAAAAAAAAAACAAGTGTCACCGACGTGGTCATCTGCTTTTAAGGTTTGATGTGTTGTGTGTTTAGAGATGATCTTTTGTATAATTCATTGTAAAATGTGTTTATTTGAGCAACTGCTTGCCGCAAAATTGGACCTTCCGAAACAAAACAAAAAAGCGTCAAAAGGACAGTTTCTTCCATTGATACCGCTGTTGTTTTAACTATCTTCACTCCTCAGCAATGTTTATTCTTTTAAAAAGTGATGGTTAAAATTGTTAAACCTAAACACATGAAAATTGAATTTATACATATTCGTTGTTCTTGATAATTTAAAACGAAAAATAATAAACATTTATTTGTTAGATTGTTTATTGAAATGATTGGCAAAACATTGGCTAATTAATTGCCAGTCGATTCGAACTTTATAAAATAGTAAATAAGGATTTCCTCATAGCGGCTTCACATATTTTAATAATTTAGTAAATGTTTATAAATTTATGAATAAAAAAAATTGTTTTCATATTTATTTATAAATTGGTAAATGATAAATATTGCATTAGTTTTAATACAATTGTATCAGTTTTTAGAATGCTGTAAATATAAAATTCTTGTAAATAAACAATTTAATAAATAGTGTTTAATATTTTTTGTTGTAAATTCTCAAGAATAAAAAAAAATACTTTCATATGTCTGTTTCATGGTCTGACAATTGCGTTTAAGCATGAAACAGACTGTCGCCGCTGGGTGTTGACCTCAATGTCCACACACACACACATATATATATATATATATATATATATATCATGATAAAAGGTACTTGACCTTTCATCTACGATCGTTGAATTAGTTTTATATGCGGAGAGGCGAGCTTTAAGTCAAAAAGGCAGTTGAAAGGTCAAGTTAAATACCTTTTATCATCATTTATGCCTTGCTCTGTATCTTTTTATATTTTACATCGAGTACTGTTATTGTAACGTCAACTCTTGATTTTATTCACACCATCTCTCTCTCTCTCTCTCTATATATATATATATATATATATATATATATATATATATATACTTTATAGATGTGACCTTGGGCTTGAATACTAATTATTACAAACCATATATCAAAGATCTATATAACCACAGATACGTTAGTAAAGAATCCAACCATCCATACACTATTCTAGATAATTTACATAAATCAGTCCAAGTTAGATTATCTACTAAATTCAGCAATAAGGAAATATTTGATAATAATAAAATTAAATATACAAAAGCATTAGAACTGAGCAATCTTAAAGTAAATTGAGAATATTTAGAAAAAAAACAAAAAAGGTAAAAATAAACACACACCATAATGTAATATGGTTAAACGCACCATTTCATTGTAATGTTCAAACGAATATTGGAAGAATTTTCCATAATTTAATTCATAAACACTTTAACACTCAACAATACTAGATATTTTTTAACAAAAGTAATGTATATATCAGTTATAGCTGCGTTAAAAACATCGATAAATCAATATCCAAACATAACAGTATTATATTAAACAGGTACATGTCCTTCAAAGGCAATAACGGTATTAAAAAATGCAACTGCCGAAAAATATGTCCCTTAAATGGCCAATACATGACTCCTAATATTGTATACCGAGCCATCATACATTCCGGTAACGATGTCAAATTTTATTTTGGTTCCACTGAGAATCCTTAGAAATTACATTTCTATCATCATCAAATGAATTTAGGCAATGTAAAATACATAAACAACACTGCTCTCTCCAAACATTTCTGGCAATTAAAAAATGATGGTAATACACCTATTATTGCATGGGATATTGTAGCAAAAGCCAAATCTTATAATGGGAAAGGCGATAGATATATGCCTTGTAGAAAAATGTATTATCTTAAAGCACTTAAATAACCCTTGCTTATTAAACAAGAAAAATGATTTGACGGTTACATGTAGGCATAAAAATAAACACCTGTTGAAATACGTTGACCTAGATTAAAAGTTAATGTAATTTATATTTTTTTATATATAAAATAAAAATCCCGACTATTTTAAATGCAACAAATATAATTTTAAAACAAAAAACTGTAATTCCCGCATAATATATGGACTGCGCCAACATAGCGTTAATCAAATATCTTTATTAAAATTTAACGTAACCTTCAATCTATACTCAGTACCAGAAGATTGCGCTGTTCATGAAACTCTGAGCTGTGCTACCGGTGAGGACTAATATATATATATATATATATATATATATATATATATATATATATAGGTGCTTTCCGGAGTTCTTTGAACGTTCGCTTTCCGACCATCCAGGTTCGAATCTCTTTAGAAACGAGTAGCCGACCATTTTATATATATATATATATATATATATATATATATATATATATATATAAATGCGGATATACCAGTCAACACTGCATTGTGACTATCAGTTTCACACCTCAGTGCGATCTTCAAACTTTGTCCTTCATCTGCCGCTCCCTCTCACTTTCTTCTAATTTATGTTCGAGAACTAAAATGGCGACAGAGTACAAAATCAAAATATGTGATGGGAAAATCTTGTCGGGACTCCATATTTTATCCTTAAAAAAAAAAGACGCAACTTTTAAGAGGTCAGAATTATTTTTTCGCTTTGTAGCTATAAAACCGATTTTATTCTTTGTTTGATTTTCTCTGAAACAATTGCCAAAATCCTCATGTTTCGTTCTTTTATCAGACATAGTTGACCGAAGAACTGAACATTCGGTACACCCCTTACTTCGATAGCGTCTAAAAATTCAAGTCTCAATGATGCTTTTTGTCCATTCTTTTCTGTGGGGGGGGGTCAATCTCCGAAACTCTGTTCGAGTTTTGCTAACGTATCTATAGTTGGTATAAGCTTTTGAAATAAGCCGCAAATGCCACTCACTTAAATCTCAAAGGATAAAGGTTCTTTCTTTCTTTCTTTTTTCTTTTTTTTTTTTTTTACAAAATCTGCCCCTCGTAGTATTTTCGTGACTCTGGTAGCAATACAATATTTTTAGGTTTGTGTTTTCGATTAACAAGTCACATTGTTTGTTCGATCTATTGTGCGTGAAAACATAAACGCCAGACCACGAACAACGGTAAATCTCAACTCTGTTTCCCATTCAATCTGGCACCATAATCGGATCAAAGTCTAACGTCGGCTTTTTGAAAATGTTTCAAAAGTAGAATGCATATGATATTGGTAACAAGGTTCTTATGAACTTTGTACAAAAGAGAAATTCATCTGTTTATTCAGTGCAATCGATCCTGAGTACCTCATAAAAAATAGCCTTTTGCCAGATTAAATACTACTCAATGAATGGGTAATGTTGAAGTGGGGCCTCTCTGGGTGGCTCACTATTATATTCTTTGTACGATACAACAAAGTATCGTTAAGAAAAAAAAAAAAAGTCTCGCGAGAATAGAAATTCGTGTAAGAGGATCGGATTACGTTTCCATGGTAAGGAAATTATGACGCATTACAACTTTATATATATATATATATATATATATATATATATATATATATATATAATATTTTTTTAAAACCGATTATTTCTGTTTTCATTAGTTTTAAGAATATGATTATTTTTCAACGTTGATATATTTGATAGATTCTTTGTGTAGCGGAGGTCGTAAAACTTTTTAACGGAGAATATTCGGATTGTCATGGATGCGACTGAAAGACTTTCAAAACATGAATTCAACATGTGGAGGATTATATCCACCCACACCCATAAGGTGCGGCAAAAATACCTCTTACATTTTAAAATTAAAAAAGTTTTAATATATATATATATATATATATATATATATATATATATATATATATATATATATATATATATATATATATTGATAAAGTTCGACTATTATTTTAAGACATTTTTTATGTTTATACGTTCTTTTTATAGATAGAAATATTTAAGTAAATGCTCTGTTTATAATAAACAGTATTAACGACATTTACCGGCCTGGATGTCTGAGAAATTTTAATAGAAAATATGCGTCCTCCGACAGGCACCGAACCTGTATCCTATACGGAACCGTCATATAGCCTGACGTGCTTTTACTGATTTCAACACAGAGGAGCGTTTCGGTTAGCAAGGTCGATTTTACTGGGGTTTTTTTTGTTTTGTTTTTTTTTTTACATAGGGTTCGGGTTCGATTCCTGTCGGGAGACGCATATTTTCTATGAAAATTTCTCTGACATTCAGGCTGGTAAATGTCGTTAATACTGTTTATTATAAACAGACCATTTACTTAAATATTTGTATCTATAAAAAGAACGTATAAACATTATTTATATATATATATATATATATATATATATATATATATATATATATATATATGTGTGTGTGTGTGTGTGTGTTTAATTTACTACTTAGATATTTATCATAACCCCAGCAAAAAGAGCGAGATAATTGGCATTCCTCGTGTATTGAGAAGGTATACAAAAGTGTGTTGATAGGTTCTCTGCTGCATGAGTACTAACTCCCCACCCCCGCAAAAAAATCTCTGCTAAACCCCGAATTTCTTCATATTTAAGTCTACCATCGTCTCTGCCTAGAATATTGCTACCACATCAGGTCTGGTACTCCTACTACATGGAAATCTTTGAGAAAATCCAAAGAATCTGCAATGTTATTGATCCTAACCTGACGACTCGGTTTCAGTCGCTCTCCCACCGATATAATGTAGCTCCTCTGTGGCTTTTCTATAAATACTTTCATGGTTGTTCCGATTTCTGTACCTAGACTTTATGAATTTAAGCGCAATACGTGATTGGTGGCAAGATCTCATCATTTTACAGTTGAAATGGCCGCTAGATGTAACCGTAAGTTCTATGCTTACGGTCTCCTTTCTTGCATTTCTGGCTTGTGGAACTCTTCCAGCTTTGAATACAATGTCAGTCGTTATCTTGTGCCTTCATACTTTGTTATTGTTTTTTCACCTTTTAATAAGGATTTCTTTTTCTTATGTTCTTTCACGTTAAGTAACAGCATGCATCTCGGTGGCTTTGTTGCCTTGCTTGGCGTGAAATGATTAAAAATTGAACTTTCTATCACCATCTGGTGAGTCTTATTTGATCGTATTATCAAAAGATGACGACGCAGATTTTACAAATGCACTATTTGTTATTTTCAGATTGAATAATCAAGTATGTTAGCATTATATTTTGCTCCATTGTTACATGAATATTCCTTTTTGGTAACATTTTCGCATATTGGCATTGAATACCAGAAGAAATGGAATCTCATCAGTAAGGGTGATCAGGTTGCATAACCGATACTTATATTCCATAGCGAGGGAGAGGGGGCTTTTACCTCGTCTTTTTTTTTTTTTTTTTGCTTTGTCTTTTTCTTGCAAGAGATGAAATTCTAACATTTCTTAGTTTTTTGGGGTTTATTTCTCTCTTCTTTCTGCAACTGTTATCTATACACGGCTTGCTTCACCCAATTCTGATTTAAACACATATACCACTATTTCTTTTACTTCTGTACAGTTGTTTTTAAGCCCCGGATGCAAAAAAGTAGGCAATCATTGATCGAAAATTCGCGTTTAATGTTGGCCTTGAAAAATGCATCTATGTCATTCCCTTTTCGTTTCTAAGAAAGTGTCATTAGATAGGCACTTGCAGGTGGAGACACTTAAAGTTCAACAACTTCCTTCGTCTCCGGGATGTCAGAAAACGGAAAAATGTTCTGACCGAATAGAAAAACTTCTTGCAAAACAAACCGGAAAACTTTCGTATTTATGTCCAAAGAGTCGCTAAATTTTATCGTCAATATCTTTTTATTAAGAGGAAATACCAAAGGATATTTTAAAACATACTTTTTTAGAACCTGCAGAATTTTGGTTAAAAATTTTGTTTTATTGGCGTCTACGTGGTGGGACCGTAAATTAGTGCGTGCAATTAGAGCATTTTTGGTTGTTGTGAGGGTGTATTGCGATGAAAATTACATCGATTTGGAAATTCTTGTAGCAATCAGATAATTGTTGAATTTTAAAGAAAGTTAAGAAACGAATGAAATTGTTTTAAAGGATTTATTTTTGTTTTTTTTTTGTTTTTTTTATATAAAAATTCTTTTTTTATCTGTTACTAAGGTGGAGTAATAATTAGCGGCTCGGACTGAGGAATCGGAGAGCCGAGTTCCGATTCTAGTCGAATCCATTACATTCACTTACGTGCTAATACCTTTGGGAAAGTTATGAATCCTCCTCTTCTCCTCCCAGCTATGGCTAAACAGCAGGACAAACCGGGCAACAGGTTTACCTCGTCAGTCATGTATCGAAAGATATATGATCGCCTACGCGCATATCACACATAACTGACTGACTGCTTCCCGACTAATCTAATTTTAAGAAATTCCGATATTTCTCCTTTCTTTTTCTTCTTTCTTTTTTCTTTTTTCTTTTTCTTTTTTCTTTTTCTTCTTTATTTTTTTCTTTTTCCTTTTTTCTTTTTTCTTTTTCTTCTTTCTTTTTTTTTCTTTTCCTTTTTTCTTTTTTCTCTTTTTCTTTACCTTTTTTCTTTTCCTTTTTCTTTTCCTTTTTCTTTTTTCCTTTTTCTTTTCCTTTTTCTTTTCCTTTTTTCTTTTCCTTTTCTTTTCCTTTTTTTTTCTTTTTTCTTTTCCTTTTTTTTCTTTTCCTTTTTTCTTTTCCTTTTTTTTTTCTTTTTTTTTTCTTTTCCTTTTCTTTTTTCCTTTTTTTTTCCTTTTTCTTTTCTTTTTTTTCTTTTCCTTTTTTTCTTTTCCTTTTTCTTTTCCTTTTTTTCTTTTCCTTTTTCTTTTCCTTTTTTCCTTTTTCTTTCCTTTTTTTCTTTTCCTTTTTTCTTTTCCTTTTTTCTTTTCCTTTTTCTTTTCCTTTTTCTTTTCCTTTTTTCTTTTCCTTTTTTCTTTTCCTTTTTTCTTTTCCTTTTTTTTTTTCCTTTTTTTTTTTCTTTTCCTTTTTCTTTTCCTTTTTTCTTTTCCTTTTTCTTTTCCTTTTTTCTTTTCCTTTTTTCTTTCCTTTTTTTCTTTTTCCTTTTTTCTTTTTCCTTTTTTTTTTTTTCTTTTTTCTTTCCTTTTTTTTTTTTCTTTTCCTTTTTTCTTTTCTCTTTTTTTTTCCTCTTTTTTTTTTTTTTCCTCTTTTTTTTTTCTTTTTTTCCTTTTTTTTTATCCTCTTTTTTTTTTCCTTTTTTCCTCTTTCTTTTTCCTCTTTTTTTTCCTCTTTTCTTTATCCTCTTTTTTTTTTTCTCTTTTTTTTTTCCTCTTTTCTTTTTCCTCTTTCGCTTAATGTTTATATTAGTCATAAAGACAAGTTGTCAGAGAATTTAAATCCTGAATTTTTGTCCAGATCTACTTTAAATCGTAAAATAAAAAATGCAATAAAACTAAGACATTATATGTGTGTATAAACGTGTCACTTTTGTAAATACGGGCGTCTATACATTTCATCAATATCGTAAGTAAGACTATAAAACTAAAACAATAAAATATTATATTTCTTAGAATTTTTTTTAAGATTACAAAGTAGTTAAAAACAAAGGCGTTCACGTTATATTCAATTTACTTTTACAGTTATGTACCCATATAATAAATTTCTTAAACATCAGTCGGTATTACTTTAACGTGTGGTCTACCGCAGTTTCCGTACCATCTACTACCAGATCTCTTACAGTTTAGTGAACAGTCTACCTTCACTTTACACTTCAATGTGCAGCCTAGCTCCACTACAAGTCACAGCGTAGACTAGGGAAACTGCGGTAGACCGTACGCTAAAGTAGTACCCATTATGAAAGTGTAAAAATAGGTTTTAATACCAGAAATCCTTTGTAAAAAAAAAATTATTACCAGCAATATATTTTGGGAAAAAATACCAGCTATACATTAAAAAAAAAATCACCAACAATAAAAATCATCTCGGCATTAAATAACCCATTGAGATTGATATACCATAAACCAAACAATATTTTTTTCATATCATTCCATAGGACTGATGACATATGCTTAAGTGGGTCTGAAAAGTTGAGCTGTTCTGACGTAATTTGATGCTGTGACCTTTCACATCTGATAATTCGATGAAACAACTAACCCCGACCATGCTCAGGCACCTTGGGTGGGGGGGGATTAGACAATAAGATTTAGACATATATTATTCTCTGAGCAATAAAATGTCCATCGTTGTCTTAATTTCACTTCTTACATTGTTATCTCTACTCAATCTTTTCTTTTTCTCGTATTCTCTCACACTCAGTAACCTCTTGCGTTTTAGTGGCTTTATTGCCTTTCTTGGGGGTGAAATGATTTTAAAAAAGACAAAATTTACTTAAGCCTTGGAATGATTATAACAAATCTTGCTAATCCTGTTTAATATTATTGATTCTTGAATTTGTATGAAAACATTTTTATTGATTGTTCATGGTCGAGAGAGAAAGAAATTGCTTGTCGAATAATGAATGAAGATCAGTTGAAAGTAATATGTTAAGTGCATTCATTTTTATATTCATATTCCGAAAGAAAAAGTAATTCTTTGTTCTGCTGCGGGATGCTAGTATGTTTGCGTAAATATTGGTCACCATTATGTTGCAGGAAACAGCACTTTGGATAGTAAATATTCGTGGTCCCCTGGAACATTTATCCCGCAAACAATATTGGCGGACTCGTGTGAGTCAGATTAAAAATAAAAAAATATACACAAAGCACAAATATAAAACAAACGACTACATGTATTAACAAAAGGAATTACAGTTATAACGCAAGGAAAAAAACATTAGAACCAGTTATAAGAATGTGTGAGTGTCAAATGAGGACCAAAGAAAAGAACGCGCCTTGTCGGCAGCGTTCCTCTCTACGCGCGACTATATCTGAAAGCCAGATCTAAAAAGACCAAAGACAAGGTGAGTGTGAGGATATCACTGTCTATTTATAGACTTAAAGAACGCTCCCGAGCAAGCGTTTTGGCACATTCAAGAATTCGAGTTTAAATTTTATAGGATATTAACTATTTTGATTTACTATAATTCTCTTCATTTATATCACACAGACAGAGCAGAGGATACAAATTCGAAAACAAAAAAAAAATATAGTGCAACATATATTTCACTCATACAAAACAACACAGTAACCCTGTAACTTGAGTGCCTCTGGGCTTTTTATTATTTGCTATTTCATGATGCATTAAAATTTTCAGTTTTTGAATTTTACAAAAAAGGTATTGTCGTTGGTCAATTATTAATACAAGTGAAGTGGTTTGTATATTTACCAAAGAGGGTTCTCTACTACGAAAAAACAATTTCAACAAAAACGATACAGAGTGAAAGCAAATACCATATCGGTTGGAATTCTATGAAAATTATTTACGCTATTTATGTTCGGATTGTCATCTTTTTAGCCGATATGCACCTTCCAGTCTTCCTTCCATGAAAATATTAATTCCGTTAAATAAGAATAAAAAAAAATCTGACTGAAAACTGTACGCCTTTCTTCAACAGAATCAGACCAAAAATATACATTTTTGAATAAAAAGTACTATTCATTGCTCGGCTGGAGAGGAGCGCTTCCCGTTTGGGCTGTGACCCAACACACAGGCAGAGGAAAACCGTTTCTTTTTGAATGCATGGATTTGTAATTACACCATTCAATTGCTACTGGTGTTTTCCTTTTATCCAATCCGTAATAGCATCAATGACGTAAGTATAGTCTCAAACTTGGTTTGATTTATTTTATTTTACGGCATATCAACCTCAATGGGTTATTTAATGCCGGCAAGAGTTTTAGGATAGGTTCGTACGATTAGAAATATATATATATATATATATATATATATATATATATATATATATATATATATATATATTTTTTTTTTTTTTTTTTTTTTTTTTAGTATAAAATTTATTTTTATACTTTTATGGTGTTTTGACCACAGTTTGAGGGTTAACTCTTTGCTCACATATGAGACCCTAACAGTCCTACCCCCCCCCCCGGGTCAGAGTGGACCTGGACACAACAGCAATTAAAAGGTGGTTCCACGCTCCCGAAAAATTACTACTGGTGTTTTCCTTTTATCCAATCCGTAATAGCATCAATGATTTGATCTCCCGATCAGAGGCCTTGCTGCCTGGTGTAGTTTATCGTCCTGACCTGGTTAAGTTGAAAATTTGACATTTGCATTAAAAAACAAGTATAGATAATTCTTTAATAAGTTAGGGATCGATTTTAAACTGTATTCAAACAGGACCCCCCCTCTTCTAAAATAAAAATTTAATATTTGTTTCTGACATATGTCGTGCGTAGGGGAAGGTCTATTTTATGCTAATCTAGAAAAGTTGTTTAAAAAAAAATTCCTTTTTTTTTAATGAACGGACCAGTTGATTTAAGTAGTCCCGACTACCGAAGCGGAGAAAGTTTCACATATTCTAAACAGTAAGCACGTTCTAAACAGCCCTTCTTGTGGAGGACCTCTTCCTAGTTACTTTCTGGTTACCACAAAACAGCCTTTTAAAAATCGAAGGTGTGAGGAAATAATGAACAAGGCCAATTATGTACAAAGGCCCAATGGGTTTGATGTAAAATAATAAAATTTGGTGATAATGCTTTTAAAAATTAGGTATTGATTTTGTAATGTTATCGTTGTACAAATGCATAAAAAGGCGGGATTAAATGTCGTAAGTAAAATTAATCTTCATTCAACTGCGAATTTCAATTGATATCGGCAGGTAGGGCTTTAGGGTCTCTTTCCTGCATGGATTCTTATCCCAAGTCTGTGAGACTCGTTTTCTTTTCCCTCTCGGGTGGATATCTATATACAGTGTGACCCGGATATAAGAGAGATTTTTCTCTGGTCCCATACTTACCTAAACAAAATAGACCAAACCCGGATATAAGAGACTTCTTCTCCGGTCCCGACAACTCTCTTATATCCGGGTTACACTGTACCTACTTATCATTTGGTTGTTTCGCGTTTGTACATCTTAAACACAGTTTGGTCGAGTACCATTTCGGAGGTAGCTACTGGCATATATTGAAGGCGTAAATCTGCACTTGGAGACCAGGAGAGCCCCTTTCAGATTAACCCATGCTTCACCTGGCTTGTTTATTTTGGTATCACATGTGATCATCACAGATTCTCTTAGAACCAATATTCTTTACTCTTTACTTAGTTACAGACCATTTAGTATTTCCTGACAGTGAGATATTACAATATATATTTTTTAATAATAATGATGCAAGGAGTGTGAACGAATGAGAAAACAAGACAACGATTAACATTAAATTTAAATATTAAAGATCAAAAAGAGGAAAAACAAGAAGCTGGCAGAGTTCCACAAACGAGAGAAGAAACTGTTGGCATAGAATTTATGGTTATAGCTAGCCATTTCAACTGAAAAATGAGACCTATCTGCCAATCTAGTACTGCGATTAAATTCATAAATCTAGGTACTAAAAATAAAAGCTCATCAGAACAATTACCATGAAAATGTCTATAGAAAGGGTACAAGAAAGCTACATAACGGTGGTAGGAAAGTGACTGAAGACGAGATGTCAGGTCAGGACCGATAACTTTGCAGATACGTCTTTGTATTTTATCAAGATTCTCTAAATACATAACAGAAGCACCAAACCAGATGTGGCAGCAACATTCATCGCATGTTAATGAGCAACATCTGTGTCAGTAAAATTAAGTGTTTTAAGGGAGATAACTATTTTTAGTGGGGAGGATGTTTCCATGCCAAATTTTAAGTGGAGATGTTCAAATAAACAATTTTGACTTTTAAATGCTCCTTTTGGTATGTGCTTTTTTAGCACATGGTCTTATATCTGAATTTTGATTCTAACCTCTTGACATATCACGTTGAAACATTGGTTCCTGTACGATCACCGAAGATGGGTGACCGCTTGGAAATACTTATGTGCTGTAAGCTTGGGTGTACGGATGGTATAATGGATAATGGCTCGGAATTGTCAATCGTAGAGCAAAGTTCAAATTCCAGTTGGGTTCATTATATTCATTTATGAGACTTATCAAGAAAAAAATTCTTTCAACCTAAAACAATATTTTCTGGTTGATAAAGCCGTAGAAAAAAGATTCAATCAGGAGCACATTTTCGTTCAGCATTTTTAAGAATCGATTAATTTTTTTCTTTTCTTACTTTTTCCTCTTTTCTGTTTCCCCCCCCTCTTTCGTTTCCCCTCTTTTCTGGTTTTTCTTTTTTTCTGTTTTTTCTTTTTTTCTGTTTTTTCTTTTTTCCTGTTTTTTCTTTTTTTCTGCTTTTTCTTTTTTTTTCTGCTTTTTCT